TTTGCATGCCAGTATTTAGTGCAAATTTGACTCTGGGCAGTATTATTGAAAGACTTAACAACACCGTCCATTTTTCATTGTTATTCCTGAGGGTTCAGGAATCAAAGTGCCCTTACTTCAAAAGGGAACGAAATATCGTTAAGCCGATTAGAAAGGTCGATGTCGGATTATCTGTCAGTAACAGTTTTGACCGGACTGAGGCCTGAGTTGAATGATGTAAGCCATGTATTTGCGTTCTTTTGTTCTTTTGTTGTGTAAGTTTGGTTGCATTGTAATTGTAAGCTGAGTCTGGCCGTATTACAACTCAATACTATTTCTAAGTGTAAACTTTGACCTTTTTCTTTCTTGTCAATTTTAAACACGTTCTATCCGAAGTTATATAAGGCTTAATGTGAAAGGTATATATGTAGGTATATCGCACCTTGAAGTAGATACGTTCTGTTGTATATTTCATATTATATATTATTGCCTTTCCTCACCTGTAGCCTCGTTGTAGTAGACGTTGATTCTCTCCAACTGGAGGTCGGAGTCACCGTGGTAGGTGCCGGTGGGGTCAATGCCGTGCTCGTCGGAGATCACCTCCCAGAACTGGGGGTAAAATATTTTTTATTGATAATGTGTTTTTAAAATTTAAATAGCAAGAGACATACATGTACCATAGAAAAGTAAATCTATAATTACTTATTAATGAGATTACAAATTACTAGTGCGGCTTGATAGCATTGGACTAAATGTATCAGTTTTGCCTTTGGTGGGAAAACCGGTAGGGTGAGAACAGCTTAATGAGAGCCGGCTATCTGATACCAACTAGAAGCAGGACAAGACACGGGAATATATAGGTAGCAAAGTCATGCATAATACATAGAGAGAGGGCTAGAAGTAACCCCAGGGAGAAGCGAGACTATTAAACAAGCTCGTATGCTCTCTTGTCTACATTTTAAGTCTCCAAAAGGGGATTTGGGATATGTGATAACACGAAACTATACTGAATATAACAGGATCAGGAATATATTTGGGATAATTCATATGAAATTGTGTGTCTTTTTTCACTGCCAAAAAATATGCCCAAAATATTCATGATCCCCAACGTTTTTTGTTCAGTAAATATTATTCCCGTGCCATAGATATTCGTAGATTGTACAAAGTCCAGTCATAAAAGACTTATCAGGTGCTTAATAAAAGCATATGTAATATTATTACTGGGCGGGAATACAACTTACATATGTCACAAAAACAGATATTAATAACAGGACTATAACTGTTAGGCGTTATAGATGACATACAGCTATGCTGCGTTAAGAATGCTGGGTATAGGGTTTCAAGGTTAAATCACCTCAATCAACACATAATTGCATATACCAGAAGCGACAGATTTTCTAATTAAGAAATATAAATGGTTGAATGTTTTATATATTTTTCAAATTCACTCTTTAGACGATATCTACACATATAATGACACACGTATTCAATTGCTCACCTTATGGCTAGATAATGCTTAATAAAAATACACTAAAACAATAAGAGAAAGAAGTTCACCTTGGCGCCGATCTGGTTGCCGCACTGGCCAGCTTGCATGTGGACGATTTCCCTCATGGTTGGTTGTGGGTGGTGGTGGTGGCCGTGGTGGTGGTGGTTCTAGGGGTGCGGTGAGAGACCAGAGTGATGAGACAGGGAAAAGGGGGCTCTTTATACCCCCGTCGTCTGATCCCGTGTGTGATGGCAACAGTATCGAAGTAAACTAATTGGCCTCGAGTCAATGGCGGTATCAGTAAGCAGGGGTTTATCTTTAAGTGCTTAAGGGAACAAACAATGGACGACGTAATGGGGTAAGCCTCAGAGGATTTGAATGGTCAGTTAACAAGCCTGGTGGATCGACGGATTTGACATTGGAAAGATTTGCTGCTGTGTGAACAATACCAGGTTGATGACATATACTCTCGTCAACAATAAAGCAAACGAGTGGGTAATGTAAACTGTGATTTCAACAATATATGTTGCTTATGTCGGTTCATTATTTTTTAACTAAACTGACGGGTAAGGAAGACATACACTCATGTTTGATGGTGGCTAAAAATGAAACAAACAAGAAATGGTTAGATGATGATGTGTTTGATACGAGTATCAGAGTTGTGTCTTAGACGTTACGTTTGCAGTATTTCGGCGACTGGTTTCAGCCAGGTAAAGTTTTGATAACTTTTGATTTTTTGTGTCAAACCTAGTTTTCAAGTGCATACTTTCTCTTGCCTGGCAGTTAATTAAAACCATATACCGGTAAGTGGTTTGGGGAAGATGGTCTCGTGAAATTTTTGAAGATTGTCATTCTGTTTAATGTTAACAGTGACGTTGTTTGGATGGATGTTTTCCATACGATGAAAATAACTAGTTATTCAGTATGAACACCTTTATTTTTCTCACTAGAATGCTTGCATCGGGGGCATATGAAAGTATATACATCATATATGTGTTACAAAATTAATTCATTTTGATATTTTCCATACCACTTGCAGCACTCATTTATTAATGTTTGGAGAGAGAAAATACCACACTTTTAGTATTACCGAAAGAACTGCTGCATCTGTAAAAAACAATTCTCTCCCGAATATATTAGTAGGGAATATGGCGTCATTCTTTTTCGACTTTGGATAGTGTTTGATAGTGTTTCATAAACACATGCTTATGATACAGCCGGAATTCTGCTTTGGACTCGGCTTTTAGCAGAGGTTTCTTTTGAATACGAAATGGATTTTGTCACCTCATTATTCACAAGGATACATAAATGGCTGAGATATAGGCTACGCTTTCAACATGACCGATACAAATAAGGAAGCTTTTGGGGTCAAGATTAGTTTCGTTCTTGTTTTAAGCCGCACTCAGCAAAATTCCAGCTATATGACGGCGATTTGTAAAAAATCGAGTCTGGACCTGACAATGCAGTGATTGACATAATGAGCAGCAATCTGCGCAATAGGGATACGATGACATGCATCAACAAAGTCGTAAGGGGCGACTAACGGGATCGGGTTGGTCAGGCTCGCTGACTTGGTTTGATGTCATGTCATCGTATCCCAATTGCGTGGATCGATGCTCATGTCAATCACTGGATTGTCTGGTCCATACTCGATTGTTTCCAGAGCGCCGCCTTATAGCTGGAATATTGCTGAGTGTGGCGTTAATCAACAAACAAACAAAGCAATCCTGCAATCGCTTTGTGCAGGGCTTAGGACCAGTAACACCATACATTGAGCTGTACCAAGGTTGTCTGCACTTTCTAACCAGTTCAAACCTTTTAAATGGATCAATGACTTTGTTGTTGTTTAACCCCGCACTTTTCAGTAAATTATTGTGAGTGAGTTGGGTTTAACGCCGCTTTTAACAGTATTCCAGTCATATCACGGCGTGTCAGCTTAATGTGGGATGAAAGCCCAAAGTAATGCAGGTCTCAGACGTTTACCACTTCGGTGATACCCACGAGCACGGATATGGTGCTGACAAACCTAGAAACATGATCGGGACGAACCGGGATTTGAACCCACAATCATAGGTTTTTTGCGCAAGCTCCTCACAGCAATAGCCCGTTCACGGAGCTCTCTATACTACCACCAGTCATAACTCCCCACTGTGATAGGTGGCCACAACTATGATTGGAGTTGAACTAGCAACCGAATGACCGTTATATTTACAAACAAGTAACGACTGTCGTGACGCCGAATACTTTCATCGCTGCTAAATTACTTCCTTTGTTTGTCAATTTGAATTTCTGTTTTATTAAAACTATCATGTTATTGATATAGTAAGAATGTAAGGGAGAAGTTGGTTGATTTTCCGTTAGTCTGCAATCTCGAACCAATCTGATTATTAAAAACATCAAAGTAAATTCATCTGGAAAACATGGTCAGTCGTAAACCTTTTCAAAATGAAATATGATGGCATTCCCAAAGACATAAACAGAAGAATAAACATTACTACATTTGGCGTTACAGTGCAAATTTCAAGATTCTTGTAATGGCCGCGCCCACACTGGTGGCAGCGATGTTACCGAGAGTGTAACGAAGGTGTCACGCGCTGGGAAGGAGCTTGGTTTCTTGCGAAGCCAAGGGAGGCAACTCTGCACAGCGACTCGCGGCGCCTCAGACGACGTGTCGTAAATTATCGAGTCCTAACGTGACGATCACATGATTCGTATGATAAGCAACGATTCGGGGTACGGTGACAGGCAATCCACTAACCACCCGACCCGATCCGTTAAGTCACCCCTTACGACCAGTGTGGGTAGGTTGCAGGGGGTCAATTCGAACCCGGAATCCCCCCGAGGTTGGGGAATAAATCCTATTTCCGGTGCACCGTTTACTCACTATAGTCCAGATGGGTTTATAGCGAAGCGGCCCAAGCAAATCCAATTACCTGTTGTAAATAGACGGGTAGTGAGCCTTTGGATCCCGCCGAGCATCTATCATAACAGAAATAATGCTTGTTCTGTCAGACGGAACACATTTCTGCAATTAAACGAGGTGGTCCTGAAATTTCATTCCCCGTGTATACAAGCATAAATTTTTGACAAATTCCTATCATAATTGAGAAAACTAGTTTTTCAACAGCAATTTTTTTTTTTTTAAATTTAAAAAAGAAGGTTTTGAAACGATTTTTCAAGTGTTCTTGACTATAAGAATACTTGCATATCAGGCAAGTAGTTTGTTTGTGACCTGGCGGTTGAATACATAAAATGTGTTTCACATGTACCACAGGGGAGGTTTATATGTACCACAGGAGAGGTTTATATGTACCACAGGGGAGGTTTATTTGTTTATATGTACCACAGGGGAGGTTTATATGTACCACAGGGGTAGACACCTTTGTCAACTAGCCTGGAGCTCCATTCAGAATAGTGATTTATGTAAAATAAGCAGACTTGGGGAAAAACAAGAAGTCCCTTAAAATTTCCACTTGTCTCAGACTAGCGGCCATGTCTACCCCGTGTACCATATAAGAATAATAGAAATCGATAACATTTAAACAATTTTATTGCTGTAACAGCATCAGAATGGTACAATGTGCAAAATGCAATCAAAAGGATCCAACAGGAAGATTGAGCAGAAGCATTGCACAGTGACTGACGTAATGATATGATTGTCAAGAACTGCTGGAATTCAGTAAGAAAACAAAAAACTTGTTCTCCATCACGAACACATTTGTGGCTTACCTATTTGGCAAAATTTGGCAAAAGGTGATTTAAATAAATGCAAACATGGAATATTGCGTATCCTGTGTCTCAATCGGAACACCTTAATTTGATCAACAAATTAAAGTCTTTGGCAAAAACACCAAAATGACCTGGCAATATATCAAATGAATGCTGTTATGTAATACTGATTAAGTACAAGCAATACAGTGAAACATGAAATATTTATGAACACTGACCAGAAATACTGTAAATTACAATGGACCCTTTAGCCACTTTGATACTAAAATACTGACAACAGAACACTGGAACAAGGACAATTCTAGTCCATGGACAGACTGTGACATAAGATTGAACAGGCAGAATCTTTTAAGGAAGAGCGGACAGACAAAAATTAAGCCATTTCTCCCTCTTCTTCCTCGTCGAACTCGCCCTCTTCCTCCGCAGAAGCATCCTGATACTGCTGGTACTCGGACACCAGGTCATTCATGTTGGACTCGGCCTCAGTGAACTCCATCTCGTCCATGCCCTCGCCAGTGTACCAATGGAGGAAAGCCTTTCTCCTGAACATAGCTGTGAACTGCACGGAGATGCGCTTGAACAGCTCCTGGATGGCGGTGCTGTTGCCGATGAAGGTGGCAGACATTTTAAGACCACGTGGTGGGATGTCACAGACGGCGGTCTTGACGTTGTTGGGGATCCATTCAACGAAGTAGCTGCTGTTCTTGTTCTGGACATTGAGCATCTGTTCATCAACCTCCTTCATGGACATGCGGCCACGGAATATGGCAGCCACTGTCAGGTAGCGACCGTGACGGGGATCACAGGCAGCCATCATGTTCTTGGCATCAAACATCTGTTGGGTGAGCTCGGGCACGGTGAGTGCACGGTACTGTTGGCTTCCTCTGGAGGTCAGGGGTGCGAAGCCGGGCATGAAGAAGTGAAGACGGGGGAAGGGCACCATGTTGACAGCCAGTTTACGAAGATCGGCGTTCAGTTGACCTGGGAACCTCAGACAGGTGGTCACTCCGGACATGGTGGCTGACACAAGATGGTTGAGGTCACCGTAGGTTGGTGTGGTCAGCTTCAAGGTTCTGAAGCAGATGTCGTACAGAGCCTCATTGTCAATGCAGTAACTTTCATCTGTGTTCTCAACCAACTGATGGACTGACAGGGTGGCATTGTAGGGCTCAACGACTGTGTCAGACACCTGAAATAAAATGGTATATTATGTACTTGTGAAATATATATGACAAGGATTATTCATAACTAACATATTTTTATAAAATTATGGTAACTGTCAATATGAAAATGTGTAGTGAGAGGGTTCAGTCTCGTGCTGCTGTTATATCATAGCGTGTCCCTCGCTACTAAGGGAGGCAACTCTGCTGACAGGGTGGTGGTCCCATCCCCCTGCCTCCTGATGAGACATTTGGCGTGACAATGTTTGTTTGTTTGTCTTTAACGCCGCACTCAGCAATATTCCAGCTATATGATTGCAGTCTGTAAATAATCGAGTCCTGACCAGACAATCCAGTGATTGACATGAGCAACCATCCACGCAATTGGGATGCGATGACATGCATCAACCAAGTCAGCGAGCCTGACCACCCGATCCCATTAGTTGCCTCTTACGACAAGCAGAGTTGCCTTTTACGGCAGGCATGGGTTGCTGAAGACCTATGGCAGAATCCGATATAGAACATCTCATTGGTAATTTGAAAGTTCTCAGAAGTGTAGTATGGAAAACATTTTTTGTTTTGCACCTACCTTTGGTGATGGCACAACGGAGAAAGTGTTCATGATTCTGTCAGGGTACTCCTCCCTGATCTTACTGATGAGGAGTGTTCCCATGCCAGACCCAGTGCCACCACCCAGAGAGTGGGTCAGCTGGAAGCCTTGTAAACAGTCACAGCTCTCTGCCTCTTTTCGAACAACATCCAGCACGGAATCTACCAGCTCAGCACCTTCTGTGTAGTGACCCTTGGCCCAGTTGTTGCCAGCACCGCTCTGACCGAAGACGAAATTGTCTGGACGGAAGATCTGTCCGAAGGGACCAGATCGCACAGAGTCCATGGTGCCTGGCTCCAGGTCGACCAAGACTGCACGGGGAACATATTTGCCTCCTGGAACAAAGGCAATCAAATCTTGCAGGAGAAACCTTAAAATCATTGAAATCAACCATTGTCATAACTATATACAAGAGGCCCATAGGGCCTGTATCGCTCACCTGGATATTTACGCAATCATGACAAAATATACATTTGCTTTGTACATGTATGTAATACTGCAAATATTTCGTAATTTTCAACCCTGTCAGCATTTAAAAGGGTGAATGGCAAATCTGAGAGCATGAACGTGTACTTGTCTAGATACAAATGTAGCATAAAGATCTGAACTGTTTCCATGTTATAATCCAGAGGCAAGGCTGGACCCCAGGACGAATCCTATTGGCATAAATGTATTATTCTCTTCATAACAAACAAATGTATACAATATATCTGTTTATTATAGGGTGGGGATAATATCGGTTTGCAGGTTATGGAAACAAACAAAACAAATGGGCCAAAATGAAAAGAAAAAACCCACAAGATTTTATCACAGCAGTCACAAAAATTATTTCTCTTTTGGTATCTTGCAATGTTCTTAGTAGCAGACAAGCAGTACAAGTTGCTGCTTGTACTAGTCTGGACTTATACTGGTTTCGTAGTGCTAACCAACCGAGAACCCATGCTGCAGTCTGACCTGACTCAGACAAATAATACTGACTAAGGCAACCAATTATGTTTGATCCCCTTCATTGCAAGTGCCATGCAGGGTAACAAGGAGTACCATCTTTTAACATCTTTTGATACGGCGTGGCTGGGGAGAAAATAACCAACTGTCTGGTCTCTTGGCAGATGCTCTATCATGTCTATCTACCAGACAATGGAGGCCGTCTTCAATTACTTTGAAGCCATGCTTGTTTGTTTGCTTTTTAAGGCTGCACTCCGCAATATTCTAGCTACATAACAGCGGCCTGTAAATACGAGTAATTAAGTCTGGACCAAACAATTCAGTGATTGATATTGAGAGCAACCATCCAAGCCATCCGGGTACGATGAAACACAATCAACAATGTCAGCATGACTGACCACCCTATCTATTAAGTAATTTTGTACTTTAAAAAAAATGGCTGACAAATTTTAAGCCTCAAATCCTCATGTCTGAATGTCCCCATCTGAATTTTAAAAATTTTGATCGCATTTCTTACAACTCTAGAAAGTTCAGTAAAATTCAAGATGCATTCTACAACTGATTCAGCTTTTGACATACTAAAAGTCAAATGACAGATATAGGACTCCATGAATATTATTTGCCTCCATTCTGCTACGCATATTTGATGCAATAATGTGTACGAAAACGTGATAATAAAATATTGCAACAATTCAGAAATTAAAACCCTTCATTTACACAAGAAAGATGGATAGGGACATTGCAGTTCTCTAGGATTCCAAACCTTGACAGGCAAATTGAAACAAAAATTGTGATAGTGTTAACAAATATGCTTTTTTCAATGTTCTTATTTTTGTAAATTTTTAGGAATTGGAATTTTTTTAATTCAAATTGGGAACTTTTATCACCATAAGGTGCAAACTTGGAACCGAATATCGGACTCGAGATAAATTCCCAGTTCTAAGTTTAACCAGATCATTCTTAATTTAGCAGGAAAGTGTTGATTCATGTGAATTGGAGCCACATTTCTGATGGCAAGCCCTCTATCATGTTCATAAACTGTACCACCTATCTATTGTGCCTACCAGAAGCTTCGTTGTAGTAGACGTTGATTCTCTCCAACTGGAGGTCGGAGTCACCGTTGTAGGTACCGGTGGGGTCGATGCCGTGCTCGTCAGAGATCACCTCCCAGAACTGCAGAGCAAAAAACATAATTTAGTCACTCAGACTAAAAAATAAATGTCTAAGATTAGCGGAAAAGGAGTAAGACTAACAGTTTTCTCCTGAAACACAGTCTGCAAAAGCGAGTCTACTTCTGTTGCTTTTGTCTAGCTAGCTAACTAATATCGTGAATATAGTCCACATAAATTAACTCTACAGAAAAATAAGTTCAGTCCAGTACAGTGAGTGAGTGAGTGAGTGAGTTGGGTTTAACGCCGTTTTAAACAGTATTCCAGTTATATCACGGCGTGTCAGCTTATTGTGGGAGGAAAGCCCGAAGTGATGCAGGTCTCAGACGTTTACCACTTCGGTGAAACCCACGAGCACGGGTATGGTGCTGACAAACCTAGAAACATAATCGGGGTGAACCGAGATTCGAACCCACAATCATAGGTTTCTGGCGTTTCCAGGGGACTCAACTCTGCACAGCGAATCGCGGCGCCTTAGACGACTGGGCCACCCCTGCCCCCCAGTCCAGTACAGGAGTAGAAAATAAACTACAGACGACAAATAATAATGTGTATATTTATGATGCGTCAAATCCATGTCCTATTCCGTGCTCAAAGCACTTCATTACCCTGGTCAATGGATCAGTGTGCACTTCATTTATATTCTCCTCTCCCTGGGGAGTACACAACCCAAGCTGCCTGTGAGGCAATAGAAGGCTAACAGCCACACCACCATCTTATCCTACCGGGTACCCATTCACTGCTGGGTGAACAGAGGCCTAAATCACTTGTCTATTGAGACACCACATGTGCTTCAGTGCGGGGGAAGGACCGAAGCCCCAGAAACTATCAGGAGTCAAGATGCCGAACGCGGTCACCCATCCAACTTCTCTCCGAGACCAACATTGCTTAACTTCACCTAGTTGACTAGTTAAAACTTAACCAGTCCGGGCCCAAAACGTTTGAGCACACAAGTCCGAAAACATCACTTGACATCATTTTCAGTAGACAATAGAGTTAATGTATGGAGTAAATACCATAACAAATAGCTTAATGACAACTTTCAGATGGAAGTTTAATATATTACGTGCAAGCTAAATGCACAACACGTGCAGTGCCCAAACATTTCAAAATCACAAGGAATCTTCATACTTGATACATAGCATCAAATTTGTCATATGAATGCAACAATACTAGGGATGTCAACGATTCACTGATCATGCTGATACATCGATACAATTTTCAGATGATATCATCAGTCAGGGTGGCCTCTTTGGGATGTGGATTTTCAATTCCTACTGCAGGACCCGGTTTTTCGCGTGCGTGGGCAAAGTCACTGAAGCGTGTGTAAAAGGACTTTGAGTATCATGTGTATTGGTGTTACTTCACCGTTAGTGCTTGGTTGATTCCCGGCCTTCATTACCACCAGGAGGCTCGTTTAGGTGTCTGCGGCCTGTGCGGTTAGCGGGTGAATGTGGATACATGGGAAGACGTGTGAGTGCTTGAATGTGTGTGATTTAAAATTGACGTGTTGCACTATCAGGATTGTTTGATCATACGCGAAATACTAATCTGTATCAATTCATATTTTAATCCTGTATCAATTCACATGTTAATTTTGTATCGTTTCACAGACGGAACATTAATAACAGCAAAGTGTAATGACGTATCTTGGTAAAATGGGCTCTATCTACCATTTAATAAACAATTTTGTTATTAATTTATGCTATATCTACATTGTACAGTGTTTTATCTGAAATAAAGTATTGAGTAAAATAAAACATTTTTATCTTCAAATATGAGACCAGACATACAGGAAGTTTGAAACTTAACAATGTTTATGCCGTGTTTTATGAGACACACACATGCATCCAGTTAGCAAAAATGTAGAGAATGAATGCAGGAAAAGAATATACTGCGTCCTGAGGGATGCACAATAATATTCATTGTACCTACAGTGTATCAAGCAGTTATGGGGGTCAGTTATTTCATTCATCAATCATCACCACTGGCCATGTGATCATAGATTCATTCCAGGCTCTAAGTAATTATCAAGATGTACAGTACACTACACCATTTCATTACTTTACAGGACCCTCATATAACCTGCAAGGACCCCAACTTTTGTAAGTCAAGGTAAAACCCTGCTATAAGATATAAAATACATCCAAAATTGCTGCAAAATATGTATCGTATCGTATCGTGAAAAAGGTATTACGATACATATCGTAAGATCGTCATATTATGACATCCCTGAACAATACTCATTATCAATCATCACCATCATCATCATAGACAAGTGTTTAAAAAAAGTGGGGTCCTAAGGTCTTTGAGCTGCATACCCCGGGCCCCTAACAATCTCTAACATTCAAAAATGGTGTTCAAAATTAAGGTGGGTCCTGGGGTTTGCCCCCATAGTATTTGAATCTAGGCCTTAGGGACCTCTAACTTCTAGACATCAGATATATGCTTATGGAGCACCCTTGACTTTCCTTTTTAACTACAAATATTTGGAATAGATTAAAGCATCACTTTTGCAAGACCTGGGACACCAAAGATGTGACACTTGGTCCCTCTATCGTTACCAACACAGAAAGCACTTAGCAGAATTCACCAACTCAAATTTGCTCCTTGCTACGCTGAAGGCCAATGGACAGGCGTACATTATAAATAATTGCCCATGGGGGCTGGAGCTAAGTGATAATTAAATGAAAGATCAGAATTACACAAGCCACTACTGTGGCACTAGTCCAAGACTAATGAAAACCTAGAAAGTTGCTTTCGTACAAAATCTAGACATTTAACATCAACTCACAGCCCAGTTTGAGCTGTGTTGGTAGTTGAGGATCAGTGAAGGTCCGGGGTAGAACTGGTCTTCAGCAACCAAAGCTTGCCGTAAAAGGTGACAACCGGTATGCTTGTTGTAAGAGGCGATTAACGGGATCAGCTGGTCAGGCTTGCTGACTTGGTTGATGCATGTCATCGTATCGATGCTCATGATGTCAATCACTGGATTGTCTGGTCCAGACTCGATTATTTACAGACCGCCTTCATATCAGGGTTTCTGATGGCCGTCGGTCACTGGTCATAGACCAACAAAATTTAAATTTGATCGATGGTTTGTTTAAGTTGTCAGATATTTGACTGATGTGATAGGTAATGCTAAGCAAGGCGTCACATGTGTCATAATTTCATGATTATAGAGTAAATAGTAAGGATTATTCCTACTTACAGTATTGATTTTAATGACCAATGAAATGCTTTCTGCATACATTTATTTATTGTTATCTCAAAACCTTTAAAGGGGCACTGATCTAACGCAATTCCCCGAACTGGTTGTTGCCTTTGTTATTGTTTTTTCCCCCGTGAGTACCCGGATGATACGCAACGCAACTGAGCATGACCAGAGACTGGGCTACCGTCTGCAAGGACAGTTAAATAAACTTGGAGGCTGGAGGTAATATTTGTTTTACGCATTTTTGCATAAACACTGATTGGTTAACTGTGATCTATAAAGATTTCGACAAAGGGCGCATTTAATTAATTTCTTCAGCCTAAACAAACAGATAAAAAGAACGGCGGAGCTCATTGGATGTCGTCATTTGGAAATACCCCAGATGGTAAAAGTTTAATACTAAAAAAAGTATCCATGCAGTGAAAGCGTTTTCGGATTTCGGATTGCGTCGATAATACGATTACTTCTCCCTTGTTGTCATCCACGTTTTCTCGTATAACCCTACACTTGTGTATTTGTTGTCATTCACTTGATGCTCAGTTAATGAATTTATTACAGGTACAACTAGTGGTAGCACCACTTAGATTACCTGACAAAGGTTGCCATTTGGCATTTATTGTGTCTGGGGTAATTATTCAATCTAAATCCAGGTTTGAAGTGAGGTGAAATGTGTGTTATGTAATATGCACGTGGCAGGCCCAGCGAGAGATGATTGATCAGTTGATTTACTTTTTTTTGTAAATCAACGGATCGTTCCTAGTCAAAGGATTAACAGAAAATACGTTGATTGATTAATCACTGTTATCTTGCACAGTGGATATGTCAAAAGTGAGTGTTTACATGTCTAGGTTTACTAAAACAAAGGGAATACACTCATATCATGGCGTGAAGTGCCGATGTAAAAACAACATCCTTTGTTCAAAGGTTTTACTGATAATACGTTGATTGATTGATCATTGTTATCTATCACTCAATAGATTTTTTAGGAACCGTGGACGTTATGAAAATAGTTGTCACGTGGGCTTTCTCAGCCGACCCTTGAGACTTGACACCTATGTGAAACACCTGAAACAATCCAAGTGATCAGTTGAGAAACGAACACGGGTTATAATATCCCGAAACGATATATATCTTTTAAAATATTTGATTGTTACAGAGACATCGAATAAGTTTCTTTGTACAGCTGCAGACGAGTGGGATATTGTTCCTTTGTGTGGATATTCACGGATACATTCCTCGAACAAGGAAGCTGCCTAAAATTTATACACATAAATTTGGTAGGTTGTAATTATGGTATTTGCATTTTGTTTTCCTTCATTTAAACGGATAATTCGTTCTTGTTTCTCTACGTCTTGGTTGGGAAATTCTTCAATGCGCGATATACGTTGTTTTCACAGGTCTTTTCCTTTGTATGCGTGTATATATTACTGTCAATTTGTAAAATGTGATTCTCTCAGGCACTTTATAAAATGTGTAAATATTTCAGTCATTTTGACTAAAAAATCTGTCCAGATTGATTAAGACTATCAAAAGGGTCTACAAACATCACAACAGATTATTATGTAGGATTAGAAGCCAAACAACATAGAAATGTACTTTTCAACGTATCATTTTCAGTCTCTTGGTGATGACATTAAACATCAAAATGTTTGGAATTCGTTATCATAACAATAGAGATGGAAATGTTTTTCAGTCAATTTGTAAAATAACTGAATATTTAGACGTTTAATAAATATGTTACACATTTTGACAGTAAAATAATATACACACTATAAAAAAGCAATGCTCAGGTGAAATATTTACTTTATGTTGCAAGTCAAAATTGTGTAAACGAAAATCGCAAAATAAAATTACCAAGCAAGTGACTTATCAAAATTTCGTCACCATTACCGAGGCTACCCACAAAGATACCTACATTTCCTTATTATCTCATAAACTGTATTTCATTTTGTTGATCAATGTGACCATACGCCCTTATTACTACCGGTATCCAAAAAAGTCACTAATGCGCTTACGAATGGCGCAGCAGAGGTCGCGAACTAGTCTAGATTTCTGCTATACATCCGGGTACTCACTGGGAAAAAACAATAACAAAGGCAACAACCAGTCCCGCGGAATTGCGTTAGATCAGTGCCCCTTTAACAAAGAAAACCACAAGAATAAAACAGTTTTAAATGAAGGGATTAATTTCAAACAAATAATTTTCCTGTATATGTGAAAGAGCTGGCTAGACTTGCCTTTATATAAATCTAGATTAGTTTTGTTTTCATAAAATGAATATACTTCACAGTTATGGTGCAGGAATGCTGGGTCTTCAAGATCTGTCTGTTGGTAAATCTAAGCGAAGTTTCTGAGTAAATATGTTGTTTTTTTTTTGCATCTTCACTTATATATCATATTTCAGCTGTAGAAAGGCCTCATTTCCTATGCACACCTAGGCTACACGTCGTGTCTCGGGATCGACGCTCAGCTGCCTCCAGTCTACACGCTGTTTTATCAATCAGGAACACTTTTTCATATAGAAACCTTATCTGATTCTCCGAAATACTTCCTGTTTCCTGTAAGGCTAAATTATTTTTTTATTTCCTAATAATGACCAGCGAGCCGTGAAAAAACGCGCGAACCAGATCCCTGACAGGCGTGAGAAGAATTGACCATGTCAATGAATGATTGCACTAAACCCACAACATATTCCGTCTCATGATTTCACTACGGTGAAATGTATTTTTACGAAAAATATCTGACACTAGTTACATATAATAACAATGGCCGGTCTTCCCTGTCATGTTTTACCGACACGTGTTTTCAGCAACCGTCGGAGCGATAAGCAGATTAAATCATGAGACGATTTACCTTTGAACCAATTTGGTTGCCGCATTGGCCAGCCTGCATGTGGACGATTTCCCTCATGATCCTGTCTCAGATGCGTCTGTCCGCTCTCTCAAAAATTATCTGCCACCGTGATTTGCACAGGAATAAAGTCACTCGTTCTTGGAACTTACATAAGTCACTTTGAAATATCCATCTATCCCTTTGCATTGCGTCACCTAAAGGGAAATAACTGCTGTAAAAACTCTAAAATTAGCATCATCTTGACCCGAATAAGTCACGTCTATAAGTTCGCCACTACAATAAGGGGAGATAAACGCGTAAGGTAATTATGGTAATTCCATCGTGTCTCGTGTCATGTAACATATTCGATGTTCATGTATTTGCAAACAAATGACAACCTGCTGTTTTGATATTGCGTATTTATGCGATGTTAATATCAAAATAGTATGAACACACTGGATATAGATAGAACATTATATGTGAAACGTACACGTAGACAATATTTGAAATACTTTCGATCAATGAAAGTATTTTTGAAAATATTGAACATTACTAGATCTACCAGTGTTTTTTTGGGGGAAAATAAGGATCTTGTATTGAAAATGTTTAAGGCGAAATGTGTTATGACTGATAGCATTGACTGTGGCGATTTGCAGACAAAAGTTACAACCGCTGTCTAAGACGACTGCATGGGGCATTGTGGCCACTCAAAGGAGGATTATATGCTTAAGCGTGAAGGGCCAATTCTCTCACCCTGACCCTGTTTAGAAAATGTTTGGAAAATACCAAGTTTACAACACTTTTGCAAGTGTAATATTTTAAATAGTCTTAGGCAAAAAAAGACATTCGCTGGTTCCCTGTCTATAATACTACAAACCGATTTAGCAAAAAACATATAATGCGTTCATAGTTGCATGTGAAATAAATAAAGCCTGAAACACCCCTTGTTTGCGTTTGTGTGCGTGTGTATAGAGAATCTCACCCGAGTGTCTTTTGATATCAAATATATCAACACGAGTTGATAAAAGTGGCAAAAATCCTCGGCAAGCCTCGGAATTTTTCCACTTTTATCAACTCGTGTTGATATATTTGATATCAAAAGACACGAGGGTGAGATTTTATTTATCATCCAACATCATTCTTTCAACTTTTTCAATTTGTAGACAGTAATTAGCAGTGTCTTCAGTGTAAAAAGTACCGCAAACAGCTGCAGTAGCAGAGCCATTAGTGATGTCATTTGATTGTGACGTCATGGTAACAGTGACGTCACAATGGTCTGCAAAGCATTGTGATGTAATTACATTGCAGCGATATCTACAGTGTAGTTATCACTTGATCTCATCCAAGCGATATCTCCTGTGGGAGCCAGTTTTGGATGATAAACGCAATCCGTATCCGAAAAAAAATGATTTGGTATAAATAATGCAGGGTATTTTTTTGTATACGTTCGCGAATTGCCTATTCGTGTTTACGAAAGCGTATAGGATTAAATTCGCCCCAGGAGCCATGTGCTTTGGTTACGCGATGGGAAATCCTTTAAAGGAGTCTAGTAGTTGACGTAGAATGTTGATGAATTCGTTATCGTAAGCATAAACATTGCTCTATATTATATGTTTTGAGACAACGTTTACGTAATACGCACACGGACACATATGGATACGCAAACAACTGTTTTTCCACGCTTAAAATTGTTACAATAACGTTAAAAGACAAATCAATTTTTTACTACCTGTAACGATCTGAACTCGCGCACGTTATTAAAACACGTTGGTCTTAAAACTAGTATATACCCCTGTTTGAATAAAAGGAAGTGTTCCGTCAACACAACGACGGGAATAGCTGCCACACGGGCTTACAATTTTCTGGGCGGGTGTTCCGTACTCGCCTTGGGCATTAATTAATGAAGAAGAAGAAGAAGAAGAAGAAGAAAATTATTTTATTTTCGTGTCACACACTGTACAGCAGTGACAATAAAAATACACAAATAGTGTGTACAGTGTCCGGCCATTATGGCCTACGAGACACGCAGGACGTCACATACATATGAGTAAAAATGAGAAATATCACAGTACATACATATACATAAAAATGAGTTATCACCAGTTATCACCGGTTATCACCAGTTATCAGAATATTCTGATACTAAGATACATGGAACTAGGTTGGTAGAGACGAAAGACACAGTTGTCTTCGCTCATACATGTGGTGAAGAAGCGCGGCTAGGGGTCTGATCACCTTATTGTTCCGCATAAAGAACACTGTCTGATCGGCAGCGGACATCTGTATAAAGTTTGGATTTGATTGAGAAGCTAAATTCCATAAATCATTAATGAATGAGAAGAAAGGGGGGTCGGGGAATAGGTGGTCTTATATAACATGGACGGTCCACAGACTCGTATGACTAAGGACCTTTCAGCTGATTGTATTACGTATGTCGTGCTCCCTAGTCGGCATTGATTGATTAACGCGTATCGATCACCGGCTTCTCGCGCGCCAGCTTACACTTGGCAAGTCGTCGTCGTCATGTACCAGAGTTAATGCTGATTACCGTGAAAACAAGAAATCACCCACTACAAAGTGTATTAGCTTATTGAAAGGGTGGACACAATGCGTTGGTTATCGATGCACAATGCGTAGGTTATATTGGACTCAGACACGGAAGTAGTCTGTGAACGAAGGCCCAAGCTGACCGAGTGTATAATTTAGACTGGCATGTATCTTGGTGCGACTGATGAGTGAGACTACATATCGATATTTTTCTCGTGAGTGAGTTGGGTTTAACGCCGTTTTTAACATTATTCCAGCTATATCACGGCGTGTCAGCTTAATGTGGGAGGAAAGCCCGAAGTGATGCAGGTCTCAGACGTTTACCACTTCGGTGAAACCCACGAGCACGGGTATGGTGCTGACAAACCTAGAAACATAATTGGGGCGAAACGGGATTCGAACCAACAATCATAGGTTTCTGGTGTGCCCAAGGGACGCAACTCTGCACAGCGAATCGCAGCGCCTTAGACGACTGGGCCACCCCTGCCCCCTTTTTTTCTCGAATGCCCCGTTGAGACATGCGTACAAACTGTAATATAACACAAACATCTTTATTGCAACCGATAGATTTTGTTTGTTTGTTTGTTTGTTGTTTAACGCCGGAATCAGCAATATTCCGACTATAAGACGGCATTCTGAAAATATATCGAGTCTGGATCGGACAATCCAGTGATTGACATCATGAACATCCATCTAAGCCATTGAGATACGATGACATGCAAGTCAGTGAGCCTGACCACCCGGTCAGTTACTCGCCTCTCACAGAGACCATGTACCGATATATGGTCTCAGACTCTTACAAGTATGGGCCGCTGAAGACCAGTTCTAACTGGATCCCAAAACACGTGTTTGTTGTTTCCCTGCCTGGAGTTCTGTATTAAGGGGGTAAAGCATGTAATGGTCGGCCCGGCGTCAGTATTCTAAGTCTGAGGGAGGTGTCCATGTTAAACTGTAGCATGGTTTCTCAGTGGGTTAGCACTAGACTAACTTCTAATCTCTGAAATGAACATATTGTACAGAAAAAAATAGTTGTTAAATTATCTTAATAAAAAAATGATAAAAAGGAGCCCAGAGACTCTTCATTTCTGATACTGCAGAAATCTAGACTTGCCAAACATTATAGACTGGCATGGTCTGTATTTGATATATTTGTAGAAGGGTCTGTAAGACAGGCTAGGTTAGCAAATAAAACTGTCATGAGTTCGGACAAAAACGAGTGCACGTGCATGCACGTCGCTGTAGAAGAAATTTGTTTTATTAAGGTGTTGCACATCGTAAACTGCAAGGATGACAATAAACAATATTCATAAAAAAGTATAAAACGCCTGACCATACGGCCTATGAGACACATAACTCAGCATATTTACAAATATGCATACAACAAAAAGATGCAAATATAGATTAACATATAGATTCCCGTGGTCAACATATACTGTAAACCTCATTTCATCTCACAAGCCACAGTGTTTATAACCTTATGAGGGGGCACGGGTGGCCCAGTCGTCTAAGGCGCCGCCATTCGCTGTGCAGAGTTGCGTCCCTTGGGCACACCAGAATCCTATGATTGTGGGTTCGAATCCCGGTTCGCCCCGATTATGTTTCTAGGTTTGTCAGCACCATACCCGTGCTCGTGGGTTTCACCGAAGTGGTAAACGTCTGAGACCTGCATCACTTCGGGCTTTCCTCCCACATTAAGCTGACACGCCGTGATATAACTGGAATACCGTTAAAAGCGGCGTAAAACCCAACTCACTCACTCACTCACTCACTACAACCTTTTGCTCGCTGCAAAGGCACATACAATTTGTATGTATACACATATACATGTATGTCAGGGGCGGGCTTCGTACGTATGAAGGGCGGGGTAGAACAGGATTTCAGCAACCTATGCTTGCCGTAAAAGGCGACACGCTTGATATAACTGGAATACTGTTAAAAGCGGCGTTATACCCAACTCACTCACTCACTTATTTTGAACACAGTCATATGCTGTGCGGCGTCACACATAAAGATGCTCTCGTAAAATCGTGCAATACGTTCCATTAGACCGATTGAAAACCGTTTTGTTTGCGTTGTTGTTATTCGTTCAACAGTAATCACTCTATGCCGTTACACCACGAGGAGTTGCTGAAACGTTCTGAGCCTAACTATGAAGGACTGCGATGATAGCGTTGGTTACTAATTATGTTTCAACATAGCCCACTCCGACGTCCACACACAAACGGTGCTAGAATGCCTGAATGCTTCCTCCTGCTGATGAAAAAGTCCTCCACTGCAAAAATGACGTCATTTTCACTTGAGAAGTGAGATGTCTCCACTGTTTTGGCCGTTGTTTAGTCTCTGGCTGATAGTGATGAATTCAAGAACCTCATCTATGGTTACCAATAGCTCAACAAATTCAGCTGGGTCTGCTCCAAAACATCGGAAATTCTCACGAGAACCTGGAGTGTCACTGATCAGGTGTCAGAAGCCTTGGAACCCAACATTCTTAAACCGTTGTCGCCCAATTCATTCCTCATACCGACGTCTGCAGCTACTATTGCTACACCAGCCTGCAGCTACACCAACCAACGTATAAAGCTATTATTGCTACACCAGCCTGCAGCCACACCAACCAACGTCTACAGCTACT